CTCTTACGGGGACTCTCCTGTCTCTCAGATCCCATGGCTGCTGCCTTCTTGGTTTACTCCTGTGCTTGCGTAGAGCACATCCTCCAGTATTTTCCAGAGGAAGGGTGCATTGGAGGAAGTAGTTTTGAGACCTTTCATGGTTGAAAATGTCTTCAGTTTACAGACTGGTTGTCTAGTCTGATTGTGTATGTAATGCTAGCTTGGAGATGCTTTTCCCTCAGAATTTTGAAAGCATCGCTCCGTTGTCTTTGCTTGTAGATTTGCTGTTGAAAGATCTAAGCCATCTTGATTTCTGATTCTGAAGTCTTTGTATGTCTGTCCTCACCCCCTCCTGTCACTCCGGAAGTTTGGGGAGTTTTTCTTTACCCTTGTATTCTGAAATTTTATATGTTATTCCTTCCCGAATCTCTAGGGATTCTATCTGGGGTTATTTTCCCTTTGCCTGAAGAAGTCTCTGTAATATGTCCTTTAGTGTGGGATCTGCTGGTGACAAATTCTTTAAGTTTTTATGTAAAAACGTCTTCCATCTTGCCTTTAACTTAGAATTCTGGGTTTGGCAGTTGTTTTCTTTTAGCCCTTGGGAAATATTACGCGTGGTTCCAGTGTGTTCCTGCATTGCCTTGCTCGCAGCACTGTTAGGCGGGGTTCCCGAGAGTGTCTCCTTTGTGGGTCTTTCATCTCCACATCTTTAGCGTCTTGACCGGTGCCTGTCTTCTGATAGGGACTTGCCTTACTTGTATAGCAATTTCCCTCTTCAGCTAGGAAAGGGCAAATACAGCCAAAAGAATGCTTTTATTGTGACTCTTATAGACTGTATCTTCGTAATGATAGAAAACAATAATTGTTTTGATAAAAGTACTTATTTTAAAGAATATAGGGAACTTTATTAACCTATAGTTGTGGCTTTTAATATGATTTTTATTTTTTCACTATTTTTTGTTGATTTCTTTTTTGTAAGGTTAAAAATAAAAGAGATGAGAGTCCCATCTCTTAAAAGACACAACTGGAGCCTTCTGGTGCTATGTGGCTATGATTGGACCCCTGAGTTACTTAGTTGAGTCCCCTGTCCCTTTCATACTGCTCTGGGCATACACTGTGATCCCGAAGTCTTTTGTCTCTTTCCAAAGGCATGCCATGTATCATCAGAATAAAGAAAACTTCCAGGATGAGTGTACTAAGCTTCTGGTTGGCAATATTGTTATCACCCGATATAATAATCGTACCTATCGTATTGATGATATGGATTGGAATAAGACCCCAAAAGATAGCTTCACGATGTCTGATGGGAAGGAGATCACGTTCTTGGAATACTACAGGTAGAAAGAGACTGAACTGGGGCCTAAGGTGGGATGGGATGTAGTTTACCATTCTCTAGCAGGATTTTGAGTTTCATAATAGCATACAACTTGATACTTTTAAAATAATTGAATTGGTAATACACCTAAGATTAAGTGAGTTTATTTGTAGGACTTGACCTAAATATGTTATCCTTATAGTTTTTCTTTTAGTACTTTCAGAAGTTATTCATAAATTAACCTTAGGGCTTGAATTGTATTTCTGTTGCTGATTTTGTTAGAAGTCTGGTTGGAGAGATTAAATCCAAGTTATTAACCATTTGACTATCATTTCATCTTTCTGTTGCCTAAGCCCTTTAGTCTAAGGCAGTTTTTAACAAATTCTTTCCTGGACTTTTAGTCTTGTTTCTCCTCTATTTAATTGCAATGCAGCTTGAGCCTGCTTTTTCCAGTTATAAATATATTATGACCAGTTTCCGGTGGATCTTTGACAAGGACATTATGCAAATTGTATACCTTAGTCCTGGTTAGGAGACTCAGGCTGTGTTGCTGCTGTAAGAGTAGTGATGCCACTTCTGAAATTTTTTCCTGCCTCTGCCCTGCTCTAGCAAAAACTATGGGATCACAATTAAGGACGAGGACCAGCCACTGCTGATCCACAGGCCCAGTGAGAGACAGAACAACCATGGGACGGTGAGTGGGGGTGTCAGGCTTACATTTCCAGCTCACATTCTCCATCCTCTCAGCCCTTTGCAGCCATCCTCACCACTGTGTGGGAGCCAGGGAGCGTGACTGCAGTGTGGCTGGAGAAAGCCATGCAGGGTTTCATCTGTCTCACCCAGCTAGAGGTGCCACTTCACACTGGTAGCATTTACTTTTGACGTCCCCACAAGGAGGAGCTAAATATCCACATGAGCAATTTAGGGTAAAGGAATAAGGAGAACTTCCTGTGAGTGAAGATAAAACTCTGGGTCCTTTAGAGAAGGTATAGACATTTATTTTAACAGGGGTAGGGGCTGGAGGAAAATGCCTCGTCACCTGACTCCCCTGTCTTCAGCGTGAAAACTGAAGATCGGCAGGATAAGATGAGACTGAGGCACACAGCTCGATAGGATGTATTCTCTTACCTTTGTCTTGAGGTGCAAGAGGGACAGAATTTTTTTTGTTTTCTAGTTTTTCCTCTCCTTTTGACAGTTTCAATATTTAACCTAATATAACAGGCCCTATGTCTTGTGACAGAGGGGGAAAGGGTAAAATACTTCTAGTATTTTAGTATTCTAGTATTTCTAGTTTCACTGCCCTCTTCCCTGAGGTTTTACATCCTTAGTGCGTAAGCCACATCACTGCAGGACCAGCCCTGGGCATGGCATGTCTCGTGCGGGTCAGGGGAACACGATTCTCTTTTACTTCCTTAGTTTTCCTCTTTCTTCTCTCCTCAAAGCTGCTAAAAGGCGAAATCCTGCTGCTGCCTGAGCTTTCCTTCATGACTGGAATTCCGGAGAAGATGAAAAAGGACTTCAGAGCCATGAAGGTTAGAGTCCTGTTGTTCTCAGCAGGAAACGCCGGCTTTGAGTGTCAGCCTTTTGGATGGCAGTTTTGAGTTAGACCCAGGCCAGGTTCTGACCCTGACGCTGGCTTGCACTGTTACCTGGGCAAGTCGATCCTTCCAGGCTCCAGTTTTCCTCTCTGTGAGATATAATCCATGTCCCCTCCCGCACACAACGTGAAAAAACGTATCAGAACTGCCTTTTGAAGGTCATTAGAACAGTAGAGGGACTGGATTATAAAATAAGAAGAACAAGTCAGTCTTCATCCTCACCAGTCAGATGGATGATGGTGAAATGGTCATAGCACCATGAGCGAAGTTCTTTGAGAGCACTGAATTACTGTAACATTTCCATAAACCTTCAGTTTATTTGAAAGTGTGGAGATAATGAAGCAAAAAGTCAGCATGTCAGAAGTTGAGGGTAGAATTTATCCTGCTGGGTTCTGAGTGTACTGGGAGCGTTCGGCTCAGCTCTCGTAGGCAGGGCCTGAGCAGGGGGCTGGGTGCAGCAGCTTGCACCTAAGCAGCTTGAGTCCAGAGCCTAAGGGCTGGCCCTCCTCACCGTCTGCGACTCCTGGGCCTGTCCACCCTTGAGTTACTGTCGGCTGCCTCGCTTTCCAGTCCTTGTCTGTCTCGGACCCACATGCCACATACAGTTTTTAGTAACATAAAGAGCCTTAAGTGAAGCTCAAAATCCCGGTAAGAGATTTCTTCCATGTTTGCCTTCCAGTGCTTCTGCTTTGACCTGCTTTATGTAATAGTTCAAGGCTGCTTCCTTACGACTCCCAGTTGGCTAATGACTTTATGATCTGTATAGCCCCATGGACTTACTGACCCTAATAACTGCCTGGCAGGAAGCAGCAGCTGTACAGTTCGTTTGTCCCAGAAGGATAAATGAAGAGCTCCCTTATGTGATTCAGAATCTTTATATGTACCTATTAGGCATTACTCAACAATAAATATTTAGCAAGGACTTATTATGAGTCAAACACTGTGGCAAGTTCTGAGCAAAAAAGTGCCTTATGGTAAAATGAAAAGGCTAGTAGAGTATGACATAAAGTTTCAGACTGACTACGGTTTTCCATTCGTTATGTTAGGATGCCTGATACATGGCTTTTCCCCCCTGTTTTTCCCACATTTTATTTTATTTTTTTATTATTTATTTTTTTTTTTGAGACAGAGTCTCACTGTGTTGCCCGGGCTAGAGTGCTGTGGCGTCAGCCTAGCTCACAGCAACCTCAAACTCCTGGGCTCAAGCAATCCTCCTGCCTCAGCCTCCCGAGTAGCTGGGACTACAGGCATGTGCCACCATGCCCAGCTAATTTTTTGTATATATTTTTTAGTTGTCCAATTAATTTCTTTCTAATTTTAGTAGAGACGGGGTCTTGCTCTTGCACAGGCTGGTTTCGAACTCCTGAGCTCAAACAATCCGCCCGCCTCGGCCTCCCAGAGAGCTAGGATTACAGGCGTGAGCCACCGTGCCCGGCCCCACATTTTAAATAGCTGCAATCAAGCCCCGTTTGCTCTTGTTTTATAGAATCTCTTAGAAATTTTAAAGTCAGAGCATGCTTTGAGAAAGAGATTAGATTTGTACATCACGAAGGAGGAGGAGCCAATAACATTTAAAATTCTTACTTTTGTTATTCAATTTTTAACCTTCTACTTCATTCACATTCCTAAGAGAGATTTATTAAGTCCTTGGAGAAACTTGAAAATTTCTACTGATTTCAAGGGGAAGGAGGTTTCTTATGGAAGCATTTTAAACACATTGGGGTTTATTTAACCTCACATCGGAGAAAGTAATACTTACACGTTATTATCTCCATTTTAATTCTATTTATAAAGGATCTGACCCAACAGATCAACCTGAGCCCCAAACAGCACCACAGTGCTTTGGAATGCTTGCTACAGAGGATTTCAAAGAACCAGACAGCCAGCAATGAACTGACGCGCTGGGGGCTCTATCTGCAAAAGGATGTACATAAGGTAACTGGAAGATGAGATGGGGTGGGAACTGACATCAACCCAGGATTTCAGAGCTTGGTTGAGACTTGGTGATAGCTTCCTGTCCTGTCTTTATTTTGGAGTTTTGCTTTATTCTTATACTCCATTTTTTTTATCTCAGTCATGATACTTCAGTTTCCTTGACTTAATTTGCTAGTGTCTTTTACAGATGTTTTTCCTCTGTATTTCCCAGGGATTGAGCTAAAGTTCTGTGTTTTTCTTTTTCTCTTTTTTTTTGTTTTTTTCAACTTTTTACCGTTCTCAGTAATTAACTAGTGTTTCCTTGAACATACCACTGTCATTTTTCGCGTAGCCATAAGAGACTCCAATTTGTACAATCTCATTTTTTTTCTTTTTTGGGAAGATGTTTATCTTTTTTCTAAAAATTGTGCCAAGGCAAAGCAGAGCTCTGGTTAATATGGGCATGTCATGTGGGCGTTGTCAGCACTGCCCTTACTGCATGCTCACTGAACAGTAACAACCCTGATAATAGGATAGCTGGGATCTAATTTTCCCGTGGCCCTTTCCACCTGCCATCTGCCTGAGAAGCTGTGTTGTGTTTTGTGCAGGCAGGATTCGTAGAGCAGAGGCTGTATGGGGTGGTGGTGAAGACCTTGGACTTTGGTGTCGGCTCTTCTGTCTTTGAATCCCAGCTCTGCCACTTGCCATCTTGTTTACTTTGAGCAAATTGCTTAGCATCTCTTAGTTTCCTTATCCATAAAGTGAGGATAATGATTGAGTTATATATGAACTAAATGGTAAATCTTTAGCATGATATCTGGCACGTAGCAAGTATTCCATAAGTTTTGGCCAGTGTTACTTTTCACTTTTCTTTTGAAATTATACCAAAATAATTAATTCTGTCTTTTCTTTGGTTCTCTTGCACTCTGAATTTACTCCTTGTTTCTTATTCTTTCCTGATTCTAAAAGTAATGTGTGATCAATAAGGAATATGTGGAAATATTAGAACATGTAAAGAAGAATTTAATAAAACCATCAATAATTGCATCACACAAAGATAATATTTCAGCGATTTATTTTAGATGCATATAAAAGATAATATTTTCAATATTTTTACTTCCCCTAAAATTATTTTTTGCATCTTTTTCATTTAATATTAAATCATGATCATGTTTTCATGTTATTAAATATTATGTAGAAAACATTAGCCAAAGAAGGAAAAAGTCTACCTGTAATCTTGCTACATCAAAGTAGCCACTGTTAACATTTTGGAAAATATTTTTTAATCTTTTCTGTGTGATACATGTGCGTGTACATACACATGCCAAATATGTATTCATGTGGTTTCCTTTTCCTTTTCAATACATTCTGAACATTTTTCCATGTAATTCAATATTTTCCTAAATATTTTTAGTCTGGGCACAGTGGCTCACACCTGTAATCCCAGTGCTTTGGGAGGCTGAGGCAGGAAGATCACTGTGAGGTCAGGAGTTTGAGACCAGCCTGGGCAACATAGTGAGACCTCGTCTCTACAAAAAATGTTTTAAAAATTAGCTGAGCATGCATGCCTGTAGTCCTGCCTACTCTAGA